TGTTTCACAAAATATCTGTGTAACTGACGGTAAGTTACTTAACTTGGATTAGCCTCAGCTATTTATCTGAAAAACTTGGGTGTGGAGAAGGAATTTGAAGTAGGTGATTTCCAAGAGCTTCCATGAGTATAAGGATTTATAATTCTATGAAACATCTACCTGTATCAATTTCCTCATTTAAAATAGTGCTAACAACATTTGCCATCAGATAAGTGGTACAGGCCTCCAAACCAAAAGAAAAGTCTCAGTAGTAGCAGCAGGAGTGGCAGTAAGAACACAGTTAAAGAATGCAGAAACGTTTTCTTCCCCAACCACATGACATCAGGCTCTCTCGCCTACTCTCTACTTCTACTTTACCCTTTACTTAAGCTCGAGGCATACAGCACTTTACCCTATTATATTATTTCAGTAAACTTCCTCTTGCCCCCTCTTTATTCCCAACTCTTAGATTAAACTGCTCCACCATATGTCTGGGAAACATCTTTTAAACTAGTTAAAATAATAGAATAGCGCTCAAGGGCTAAAACCACCTTATTAATGTACTACCCCTCCTACCAACTCCTAGATTAAGATATTTAGCACACCCCAAGTGCAAAGAAACATAGTACTAAAGGTGGAATGTGAAGCACTTGGGAAGATAAACATGAATCCCACCAAGAAGCATACTAATTTCCCCTCCCTCCTCTAAGGCAGTCCTGGACACAAACTAATAGAAAGTCATTTAGGCTTGCAACATTTGAGACTATAATGTTAATCTGTACTTAGCATTCTTTTCACTCATAGGAGTGATATAATTAATTTGGACACGTCTCTTCAACTCTAAATGGGTTGATTTTTAAAAATAGAATACAAATTCTGTCTGATTAGGAAAGCAGTATGTAAGCATTGTTAAAATACAAAGCACTCTGTAGACAAAATAACAATTACCTATAATATCCCCACCCATATATAGCCAGAGTATTTCTGTACCGGGTCTTATTTTGCATAAATCATGCATTACATAGTTTTTTTTTTTTTCCTTTTAAACTCAGTAGTCTCATTTCATTAAATATCTTTTAAAAACCTTATTTCTAATGGCTGCATAATATTTCTCGTATGGGTATCTATAACTTACTTTACTGTTCACTTACTGTGTATTTACAACACTTTGCCCTCTGTCTGTCTCAAGCTTTCACTGTGCATGTCTCACTATTTCTTAGGATAAATTCCTGAGAGTGAAATTACTCGACAAAGCAGGTGAACATTGTGTACTGATATTTTAAGTCAAACTTTAGATTCATGTGCTCATTGTCCCACTAAAAAAACTACCCTAAGCTATCAAATACAAAAAGCGAAGCGAACTAATGAAACAAAGCAAAATACTAACCCATCAACCAACACATACAACTCAAATAAAGTGTATTGTTGTAATTCTCTAAAATATCTGACTCATTGGACATTCTGAAATGTGCAAAATCTCGTATACAAGCATGAAAATGGGAAAACAGCCATGATGACTCTATGACAATGGGATATTGCATAAAGGACACTACATAAGGCACACCAAATGAAGCACTAAACACATATTTAACCTTTTTATGTGGTCACTTGGCCATAAGGGTATGAAAGAAAAAATCATGTTGGATTCAGGAAAACCAACCAACCAACAAGAAACCTGTGCACCGCTTTGTGCAGCACTGTCCGGCTAGAGAAGAGAAGAAAAACGATAAGGACAGATGTATTATACTGGACATTTTTAGGACTTAGTATCGTGATATAAACTGTACTGGTTCACCAAATTGGCCCTAAATATCTATTTCTTATCTCATTACTGTCTTCTGATCCATGATTTTCTCTCCTCTCCTGGATAAAAATATCTACTAACATAGTAGTTTTGTATTTTTTTTATCTTAAATATTCGGCAGTTGAAATTTCATTCCTGTAATTATAATTATAACTAATAGACCTTCCATTTCCCATGTCATAATTAATGTCAGGTTTTATTAGAGCACGATCATGCTGCCTTTTCCTTTACAAGGCTTATTTTATTTTCACAACATTTATGGTATATTGAATTAAGCAATAAAGAGTTCTAAAGGCTTTCTGACAGAATAACCTTTGGATCATAGATGCTGAGTTAACTGACTTAGAAAAGACTTTTTGCATTGTTTTTAAACCACATATAAAATATTTCCTAATCTGCAGTTTGTTCAACATTAATAGGTGAAAAAAGAAATCAGTGATTCAGTGACAAATACATCAGATTTCCTAAAAGGTTATTTAATGTGCTCTCAGGAAGGATAAAAAGAACTAATGAAAACAAAACAAAATGTTTAGAGATCATACTTGTTGATTGCAATGCATGACATATACAGATGTGTCAGCTTAACTGAAGCAATTTGGTGGTCCCCACAGATTAGTTTTTCATAGGCCCTGGTTACACTGTTACTACATTTCCTTTAAACTGTACTCAAAAGACACAACTTTACCATTTAATGATTCAAGCAAAACAGAACTGTACCCTATTGTCAATACTGAAATTAGAAATATAAGTGATGTACAACTTTGATGATTCAAAATATACTTTAGAGAAGGTAACCTAAAACTAGCAGCTTCTCAAATATTAAAGAAGTATTTTATAAGTCATTTGAGAAACAGATGACACACTTGAAAAAGAGACCTACATACCTTTAAAATAGGATGCTAGACTCTGCTTTTGAAAATGATGAGTGATTTTGTGCTTTTGAGGATTGGACAGTGAGTGACTCTGAAGTCCCTATTATGTATGGCCCACAAATAGTACAATTAACTCTTGCAGCAACAGCTCCTGTATTTTGTCCTCATCAGAATCTTTAAATTTCTTTCTGGTTTGGCTCATATTTCTTCAAGAAAAGTTAAACATCCTTTTACCATGTTACATGTAACTGTATACATAATGTAAATATGAGGAGAAGATATACATGGAGCAAATCACAAGATCAAGAAAGTTTCGATGTCACTCTTTTTGGTATTAAACATACAAAAACCATTCTAGAACACAGAACACACAAAGAAACTTTTTAAATGCTATTCTATATAAGTTTTTTTGAATAATTATTTGGACTCATTTAAGTGACTTCCATGTAAAGTTTCTTGAAATCATAATGAATTATAAAACTGCAGCAAATTAAAATGTGGTTTGGGGAACAAGGATAACAGCAGTTTACAGGAATTGAAATTTAAAAGAGAAATGTATCCTATCTATAATAAAGTCCATTGTATTACAAGGTTCTTAATTATGGACATCAGTGAACAGATATAAAATGTTCTGAAATTAAAACACCGTGGGACATTTCAAGATAGTACTCAAATTACAGACCTTGGGGCAAGAATTCAAACAAAAGCCCTCATACTATATGTTTAAATGTTTAAAATTATAAATCAGTCAAACAAGTTGATATATATGTTCTCTCCTTCCCATCTTTGAAAATATGCCATAATAACAACCTGGAAGGCCAGGTCAAAATTAGCATTTGAGGAAATCTCTAAGATTAGCCCCAAAATAGGACAGTGTAGAGAGAGAACCAGTGTATAGTCTTCAGATCTTAGCCCACCTCTTTTCCTATCTCTCTTTCTATCCCTCAGTCCAACATTGTACCACACTGTGGGGGCCTCACACACAGGCCTGTGGACACATCCAAGCTCTATCCTTATCCTCTCACAAACAGCTGCCCCTTGGCCACCCCCTTGGACCTATGGGTATACACAGGAGCGGTGTGCTCTGACTACGGAACACAGGGCCTGGGATGAATCTGCTCAGGCCCTAGAAGTGGACCCGGGGCCAGATGGGCAGGGAATTCATGGGTCTTGAGGAGCTGGCATGCTTTCTTGAAGTTTGACACATGCCTCAGAGTGGTCAATTCCCTTTACCCTTGAACTTCTTGCACAATACAAAGGTGTAGTCAAAGGATGGCCAGAGGGAGACACTTTAAGTTGTAGGACTCCCTCTGAGCAGTTAATTTTATGCAAGTTGGAAACTCAAGACCTGGAGACAGTTTTCTTTCCTCTAGAAGAACTGATATAAAAACTGAGCAGTTATTACTAGGGAAGCAATAGTCCCTTCATAAAGAATGTTCATAACTTTGCATCTAGACAAAAGGAAATTACACTATTCTCAAGTATTTCTATGTCTACAACTGTCTATTGACCACAGTTACAATAATGTTAATTTAATAATATTTTGCAGGAACATGGTGCCCTTCTTATAAACACTAGCTTTTATTTCATACATCTTTTCAAAATGCCTCCGACATGTGAAAAGCACATGTCACAATTCCCCAGACTATAGAAGAAAAACCTCAGCACAAATGAATTAAGTAATTCTTGTAAAGTCCCAAGGTTCAAATGTTGGCAAAATTGGTGGTACCATTTGGAACATATTTGAAGCCCTCCTTACTTTTGGGGAACCCCCCACCCCTTGACATACTTCTTTGTATTACTTTCTAGCTCATTGAGACAAAGCTAAGCTCTGTGAATAAACTGTGATTCTGTACTTTGCTATTCCTTTTCTAGTATGTAAGAATTTTAACTTGTTGACTCTTGGAATCTTTGCCACCAATAAACTTAATAAAAAAAGTTATAAGCAATAAGTACCCAGTACGAAATAATATTATTTTCTGTAAACATTGTTATTAAATAGCACTGCAGTAGCAAAACCAGCAAACAAATTTTTAAAAAGCGCACAGAATCAAGAAAAAATTCCAATGTTATTCTCTTGGCCTGTGGGTGTGCATAACTTTGTAAATTGCACTTTTCTTTGGGCTGGTTTCATTTCCAGACATTATTTTGACTGTCAGCTCATGACAAAATGGTTTGATAGTCCAACCCTTCATATCCAGAGATAGTTTCAAATGAAGGATAAAATCAGAATGATCCCACAAAAAAATGGTTAGGTGCCATACAGCTTGATACCAACACTAATCGAGGTGACCAGGGAGGTAAAACAATGTCTGAAATGTAATTTCATCAAAGCATGGGCCTACCTGAATCATATGCAAAATCTCTGGGCTCCTGTTTAATCATCAGAGGAGGTGGGAAGCTTTGGCTGGCCGCACCGCCAACCATGGTGTTGTGTTCATACACGGGGTCATGGTACTCCTGCTTAAAGCCTTGTGGTGGGAAGGGGATGTTTGGCTCAGACATCTGGCGTTGGTACATAGGACGTCCTTCCCTTGGCATTGTCGGCAAAGGAGGAAAGGAATTACAGGGTTCAGAAAGCTGGCGGCGAAATCTGGAGAATAAGAGAGCGTGTTTCAGATAAAATGGTAACATAGAACATTCTCTAAAACACTGGTACAATTTTTAACTGCTTACTGAATGAACACAATACCACCTGGCCCAATGTATAAATCTTTGATGAATACTAGATTTCTCTTAGTAGCACTATGTTTTTAACTCATGCCAAGAACTGTTCGGCTACTAATCAGTCCCTTGAAGCACCATTTCAGTACATTACATAAGTTAAAGGTGTACTTTGAATAGAGATAGGAGAGCACTGTACTCTTTTAAGCAAATGTGTACCCTAATGACTAAAATGACCAATTATAAATCAATTGGATTGTTCACATAACTTCAACATAAAGAGGGTCTCAAATAATTATACTCAAGAAAAAAAAAAAAACAGAATCTGATCTCAAGCTGCATCCTTTATCTTCTAATTCTGTTACCAAACTAATCAACAAACGAACAATGTCAACAATGTCCTAATTAACATTGTGCTCTAGTGAGAATGTAACCGGATATTATAGGGACTCAAACCCGAGCTGGTTTTAAAAAGACCACCTTTTTTGCTGTCAAACAGCAACACAGAACACACTGGCTTCCAATAGCTGCAAACAAAATATCAGGTTGATAAAAATAAGCATGAATGTACAGCTGACCTCCAAAGATGAAAATAACATGTATGTGTTGTATAGATTTGGGACAAGTCATGGTGTTAGGTCATGAGGAAGTTCTGAGGCCTTGGCAGAAGACTGAAAGTGAGTCCTATGTATCTTTGTTCTTGGTTATACTGTGTAAGATTGGCTAATCATGTAATCATTCTGTTCTGTGTTCCTCATCCATAATATTATTGACCCACCACAAAGATGTGGATTAATTAAAGATTTAAAAGTGCTCTAAGAATGCCCTAGGAGTACTTGAAAATAACCTATAAAACATTGCTATGAGCAAATATAAGCCCATTATCCTCCTTACTAAAAGCATTCCTAAGACTTTAATTTTGAAAGTTAGCATTTAATTTTGGCAATGTTAAATGAAAATAAGGTAGAAGCTAAAGAATGGCAAACCAATTGCGTTAGCATTTCTAAGAACACTCCATCCTGTGATTTAACTCTAGGCTCACTCTTGCCATGGAAAGCACTGAAATTCCACCTACACCTGCAGAAAACAAACTCAGAAACTCAGATATTGCAAAACAGTTAGGCTGACTGGCACTGCATTCATTTCCTTTCTCTTGCTTATTTCATTAGCCAAAAAAAGAAACAGAAATTATCATTAAGAACTGTCAAGGAGTGAATCAGAAAATTGTAACTTGAAGTTGAAATAAGAAACCAGCTCACTTGTGAAGCCTTAAAAGGAAGTTAATAATCCTGGTACTGAAAGCTTTGTAAGGAATCAAGCCATTCGTTTTTACGAGTCGACCTGATTTCAGTTGGTACCTTCTGGGGAACGTGTATATAGCAAACACACATGCTTCATAGGAAGCTACAAGATGTGGGTGCCATTCCTATGAGCCTCTGACCACTGGTAAGGAGAAAGTGATTCAAGAAGCTTCTGGAAGAGAGTTAATGAGTAAGGAGAGAATGCTGATAAACTCTTGGATAAAGAAAAACAGGGTGTAAGTGGTGGGAAACACTGAGAAAAATAGACAGGGCTCCTGCACATTGGGTTCAGGAAAATGTGTCAAAGGGCCGGCCCAACGAGCGGAGTGAGGCTAAGGAAAGGAAGCAGGGTGCAAGCCAGCTGGCCATAAGGCCTTCCCAGAGTGAGGTGGGATGCCTGGGCTGGAGGGGACTATCTGGGGAAAGGATCTGTTCCCAGAGCAAATGTGCCATTTATAGCGGAGGGACTGTCATTTTTTGGCCAGAGCCCTCTAAGAAATCCTCCCCAGAAACATACGGCTTCAGAGATTTTCCTGGGATTGGCCAGCTGGTACTGTCCTCAAAACTCAGTTGGAGGGCAGCGGGAAAAGACCCTGAGCTTCCCTCTTGTAGTTCCGGGCCGGCTGTTCTCAGTCTAAAATATTTGACTTCAAGTAGAGAAACTAAAATGAATTTGGCTAAAGTATTTCAAGTTAGGTCACCTAAAAACAGGCATACTGCTTATTCAGCAGTGATTTTCCCTAAGAAATTACTATGTCTGCACAAAGGGTAAACTATACAATCTAATTCTGCCACTCATTCAAAGAGAGACTCAATTAGCAAGAACTCTGGGAAGTCTCCAGGAGTGCACAAAATAAAACTTGCTTTTTTTGTTCATCCTTTTTTTCCCCTTTTGCCCTGCACAATGTGCATCTGTTTAATGGCCCACCCTGCAATAAGAATTCTTTCATCTGTATTTACAAAACTGTTTACACAGATGCACATACCATTACGTTCTGACAATGTCTCAAGTCCATGGGGTGAGAAGAGAAAGACAATAGGAAGCATTTAATAACTAAAGCACAAGAGGATTTATTGATGGAAACAAAGGTAGAAAAGATACGGTTTAGTTTCACATTAGAAATAATTCTTTCATCTTATCCCTTTATAACAAAAAGTTACTGACTTTGAGATTGAGTCCCATAAAATAAAGTATAAAAAGCAGATCTGAGTACTCTTTTACTTTCAGAAAGTTGCTGGTGGCACATCTTCTGCTGATCTAGAGGATTACTGTGGCTGAGTTATTTTTACAATGGCGTATCACACAGCCAGTTTGCACTGGCTGATTGTTAAATTTTCAGGAATTTTTCTGAGCCAATTGTTAAACACAGCCATTATTAAAAATTAAATTATATAACTGTACAATTAAAAAATATATTAAAAGCAAAGGCAATAAAATTTTAAAACTCATTACTTCCTAATTATTTGACTACATTTCAGTACCAATTATGTTCTTGAGGTTAGTCTACTGTATCTGTATGATAGAAATACTATATACCAGTCTTTTTCCAGCTCCACATACAGGGTTGCCACAGTGAAAGCTCATAGTCAGTCATGGAGGCAGTGTTTACATCACAGACTCAATGAATGCTACAGAGAAAGCCTTTAAGTTTTTCTCCCATAGGGTCTGTTAAACATTTACCAGCACATCACTGGTTATATATACGTACAAGGTAGAAGGGAGAAGATGGGATGCTGTAATCAACCTGTGTTCTAGGTTGTGTACTAAAGCAGTATCTCAGGACCTCTAAAGGTCTTCCATTACTTTATTTAACTACAAATTTCTTTATCTCTAGGAGTAAAGAATTAGCCAGCAAAGCATGGCTCTCTATGTCTGTGCTCTGGTTCTTGCCTTACTCCTTTCTAAGAAATACTAATTCAGTCTCTGTCTCTTTAACTGCATATTCTCAGTGTTCAGGGTCATATGTCTACTGACATTAAATATTTGTTGCTTGGAAAGGATGGCGAATAGTTTTAATCAAATAAGTTATATTCTGCAAAACTATGTACAGCTAAACTATTCAATGTAAGGTAAAGAACCTAATTCCATAAGCCACCTACTAAAATTAGTCTCCTAACTTTACAGAACAAGTACAAACATATGCTCATAAAAATGGGATGATCTGATTTAAAGTTTAAGTGAAGCAATTTAATTCAAGCAAAGCTAAAGGGAAATGTTCAAATGTCAGTATATAGATTAATTTTCCATCTTAGCAACCAATTTAAATGTTTATAAAAGAATATTTATAAGTGACCTTCTGTACAGGTTATTTATAAGTCTAGATAGATCAAGCTCTTTCTAAAAACATTTTGCAAAGATGTGCAAAATTAATACGCTCATTCAAAATCTATTATAGATCTTCAGAACTGATAATAAGAATTTCTACCAAGAATGCTAAAACCAGTTTTTTGAAAAAGTGGTGTCTGCAATTTACCTGTGGTCCATGGGGTAGCTGCTATCTGGTATGGACTGCGACGGAGGGAGGTGAGCTGGGAAGGCCCGGTCAGGTTTTGGAGTGTGAGTTGAGTTTGGAGATGCATGATGTAGAGGGGACACTGGAGTGCTGGATGGTGTGGGCGGATTGGAGGGCCTCATTCCCACTTGTGGCTTCTGATCATAGGCACTACCCAGAGAACAGAAGAAAAGAGAGCATTTGTTTCTTTGGAGCAGTCAAAAAGTTTCCAACCCAAGGGAAGAAAACAATATTTTCAGCTTAAGTCATAAGGAAGTTAAAATTTTATGTTTTTAAAAAATTCCAGAAAATGCATATTTCAAAATCCATACCCTTAAACAGAAAATACTATAATTAAAACAAAACCTTTTATCAGCATAAAAATAAAACATGTATTTTATATATATATATATTTTTTTTTATATATACACACAAACAAATTAGTATAAGGAAACTCACTGTAAACAAAAGCACTAATATTATTTCTATCTATTCTTGTCATATCTCTTTGAGAAAGTGAGATAGCTCCTTTCTGAATCATGAAATGATTCTGGTATTGTAATTCTTCTGTATTACATAACATTTTAGAACAAGAACTAATAGCTTAATAAGATGGAGACTATATCTGGCTTGCCTTTATTTGTGGTGGAATTTTAAAAAGGCAATGCTTATGCTTCATTTTCATTTTTTTATATTAAATAAATGATGCTTGGCATTAACTTCCTCATATGAGAATGAAGATTAATGAGGCCAATTAAAATGTCTCTGATATATTTAAACTTTCTTGGAGTATAAAAATGAGTATAAAATAATGTCATTAAGAATAAAATCTTATTATACTCTAACTTCTAAACACTCAGAATTACAAAAGAATAAAATGAATAAGCATTATTTTATATTATGAATTTAAATTGTTTTCCTATGTGTAGCTTTTGGGAATGTGATTTAACTAATTTTTGTAATCTATGAAATATTTTACCAAAAACAAATTTTATTTAAATCTGAACAAAGGGACATTTCTAGGTTAAAATGCTGTATTTACTTTTAAAATAAAACACATTCATCAATGTACATTTTTTTCTTTAAAAGATATTTCTTTTTCAAATTGAAATATGTAATAATTTATCCTGTTACTCCATTAATACAACAGAATTATACCTTAATGCAAAAATACTTTACAAAAGTGAAGGAGTATGTGCAGCATAAGTATACTCTTGCTTTAAAAAAAACAGTAGTCATATAAAGAAACTTATGTATGGTTCCACCTATGTTCTTGACATATGTGAGTATTTCTGAATAAAAAGCCACTTCTTTTATAAAATGTTTCATTTTACTCATTCCCACGAAAAAAGAAAATTAAAAAAAGATACATTTTTTTTTTGTCCTAGGATATTACTTTTTCCACCATGAAATGATGTATTAAATTATATTGTTTGTATAGAGAGGGAAGTTCCAGAATTTATTGCACATACTATATGTCACTGTGGGAATTATTGGTTCCAAACAAGAAAATAAAAATATCCAGGCAATTCTCCTACTGTTAATTTATGAATGTCAGATATGTCATATAAAACAAAAGTGATTTCACAGACACAATTCTGATCAATGCTGAAATGCAATGTCAATTCTATATCTAACTGATTAATTGATTAGAGATTTCTCAATACATTAAATAATTATGCTGTGGATACACAGTATTCATAAGGAGAAAATGTAAAAATAAAACCAAACTATAAAATAAAACTCAGATTGATTAATATTGTCTTATCTGAACCCAGAACCCAGAACGTTTTAATAGCTAGCATCTACAAAAAGATCTTTTTTATGAAAGCTTTGCAGTTTCAACTGAGCTGGCTTGTAATTTCATGCTCTGGTGAACCTCTTAGAAAGGCAAATACAAAAAACAAGTTTGCAAAAACAAATAGTAATAGAACATCTCAGCAATGGTCAGCTGCCGTGAGATGGTACAAATCTAAATTTCTTGGGTCTTATATATCTTAGATATAAGAAATGTATGTAGTAAACTTATGAGAAAACAGAAGACCCCTTTGGATCATAATGTATTACGAGCCTGAACTGATATAACTCATAAAACAGAGTACATATTTGTAATCATTTCTTAAGTTTCCAATCTAACTCCTTTTAAGAACTAAGTTTCTACTTGTAATTGAAAGTAGTAATATTCAATAGACAGTCAACTTTATGCAATTAGAGACCAATATGAAAAGTAACAGCGTGCAATTTACTGTGAAGGGTTTTTAATGAACATATATGTTATCAAATTTTCTAACAAATGAACAATTTACTTTTACTGCACCATCCTTTATTATCGTCAGAAGAACAACGGGCTTTTTAATAGATAATAGCCTCTGCTAAGCCTTATGAAATTCCTTTTTATTGCAATTGTCCATGAACTCACCTTATAGATCATCTGCAAAGCTTGTCAGATAACTAATGTACTGCTTAGACCTGCCAAATGTCTCAATTTTTTTTTTCTACTAACTCTCTATCTAAAGTGTATAATGTATTCATTCTAATGGGAACTCTCAAAAGCTGCTTGTGCCAAATAAGACCCCTTTTTCAAATCCAAGATGCATCACTACTGTAGAAAAGCAACTAATGATCTGGATGAAAATTACTGCCTTAAAATGATTCTAAAAGTGTGTGATTGGATGGTAAACAATTCTTTAGAGTTCTGCTAAAAGCATTACCTAATTAGTTTGTGACATACTGAAGATGTAACACATAAAACATGACTTAAGATTTTATATTAATCTGGACTTTTTGTTCCAGTAAGAACCACCACCTTATATACATATACCTGGTTACTTTACCTGACATTGTACAGGCACTTTTCTCCATAGCTGAATTTAAAGGGCTGTTCTTGACTGCAGGCAGAGCCAAGTTCTGAACATGGACTGTGGGGCTCTTTCTTTATTTTCAGTGGTAGGCCATGAAAAGCCACTAGAAAATAATACAGAAATATTCACAAAGATGAAATGCAGTTAGGAATTAAGTAGTCATCCGTTCTTTTCTAACTTAAAATGTCATGAACATTTCTTATTGACTTACATATATAAGAAAAATCACATTTGATGAATTTCAGTGGCAGAAAAGATTCTGGAGAATCTTTGTATGCTCCTTTTCTGCTTTTATCATACAACACAATGTATCTTAAATTTTCTCTCATTACTTAAAGTGAATCACTTGTAATTTGCTTAGCCAATATTAACAATGCTAGAGGCTCAGTTTTGAGAAAGTAAGCTTTGAAAACATTTCAGAAAGATTTCCAGTGACTAAAGCAGAAAAAGTAGAACTGATTATCCAAGAATCAACTGAAGACCAGAATATAATTTTAAGCATTATTGAAAGGAAAATATCTCAAATGCATCAGTAGTAATGGTTTAATGAAATGACAACTGGACAAAGAAAATCCAGGTGCAGATCCAGGGTTATCTGATGATACTTTGGGCAAAAAGCATCTTTGAGGCCAATGCTCATTTACAAAATAGAGAAAAGTACCTGCCTACCTACCTACCAGAATTGTGAAGATAACATGTGAGAAATATGCTAAAGTTGTTCGTCACATGTAACTCACCATAAAAAAATAATTCTATATCAAAGGATGTTTTCTCCCTTTTCCTGTGACTTAATGTATGGTTATGATTATATTCACTTATGCTTAATATAATACAAAGGTTATATCATAAAATAAGAATACTGGAAGAAATATATATATGGGAGGACCACAGCTTTAAAACCAATAAATAAATAACACAAAATATATATATTTCATCTTTCTATATATGACTAAAATAGATAAATATTAAGACCCTATAAGAATAACTGAAGTGCCAGTATAAATGGGGAATTGGTTAAAAAAAGAAAAAGTAAAATAGACATAAGAATGGATTTTATTTTTATGTTCATTATCCACAAGTATGATTAATGAAAGGATAAACACAGAAAGGACACATGTTCAGAAGATTTATTCTAACTCCTATAAAAACTGGAATTAAAACATAATATGGTAAGTCTGAATTCTACAAAGGAAGATATAACAAGAGAAACATTGTGATTTATGCCATTCGATCTTGATTATGCCATTACAGCATCATAAACTTGTATTAGCTGTAATGCCAAATATAATTTTTAATATAAGAACTTAATAGCACAAACTGCTGAACTTCAGGAAAATAAATACTATTTCTTTATATACACACACTATTTTGATAGAAGTGTTCAATGGCACTCAAGAGCCATCTGAAACATCCTCAAAAATAAATTTGCTAAATAAGCAAATTTTACTTAAAGTAGTTGTCTAAGGAAAACATAAATAATAGTAAAATAATCATACTGGGTGTTTTATTTTAAAATATATTCTTAATGTAAAGTGTGTGTGTGTGCACGCACACACACTTAATATGCATATTCAAAGTAGAGAGAAAAGAAATAGAAACAAAAAAGAAAACATATGTATCTCCAGATGTCAGGGATGCTCATGTGCATTAACTGTACCATGTCAGAAAGTTATAATTTATAATCTCTTCAGGTAGGAGAGGCTTAAAAACCTCAAGAATCAATTATAATACAAGAACTTGCTTGGATACTGACTTGAATAAACAAACTATAAAAAGACAATTTTGCAATAAATAATATATTTGCATATAGACAAAGTATTAGATAACCTAAGAAATTATTGTTATTTTATCAGATGTGATAATGACAAAGTAGTTGTACAAAAAAAAAAAAAAAAAGATTTAGAGATTCACACAGTATTTACATATAAAACGATATGTCTGGAATGTTCTTCAAAATACTCTAGAAAAAATTATGTACAGGGGAAGGGATGAATCAAATTAGAAAAAAATATTGATGAATGTTACAAGCTGATTGATGGGCAGATGGAGATCCGTTACATTATTCTCGTTATATTTAATCTATGTCCTAAATTTCCAAGATAAAGTTTTCAAATTATGGGGAAAAAAGAAAAAAAAAAAAAGCTTTTAAGTAGTATTCTAAAAGAAAATTGTCTACCTGTGTATATGTGTGTGGGGGGTGTGTGTGTGTGTGTGTATGTGTATTATGCTTAGAATAACAAATATTAAATGACAGATATTAAATGTTGTTTTTTATTTCCTTAAACAAATAGTTTTCAACTATCTTTTACTTTTGGGAGTATAGAGAGCAAAATGCAAAATGTTTATACCCAGGTTTTAGCACTTTGGATTAAGTATTGAGTTTTACATTTTCCTAAGAAAAGGTAGTAGCAACACATAAGGAATTTAATTTTTTATTCACAGAAGTAACAACTCATATTATACCTGAGATCAGATCTAATTTATATGAATAAAAATTGATTAAGACCTTTGTAGTTAATAAATATGCAGTATGAGGCAAAGTTTATCATATTTATCAAAATATGAGGCATATCAGAGACTATCATGTTTACTATTACCATATTTTAAGTCTTGGGGACGATGGGTAGGAAAAGATTAGTAGACAGGATACAAAATGCACCAACCGTAAATGATAAAAAAATTGACAAATTCGGCTCTATTGAAATTAAGAACTTTGCTCTATCAAAAGACATCATTAAAAGAGTGCAAAGTAAGCCATAAGTAGATGTTTGCAATAGAAAGATCTGACAAAGAACTCATTCTTCATATAATGGGAATTTAATAAGACAAGACAAGTGACTCACTTAAAAGGGCAAAAGAGTTGAGCAGGCAGCTGTTTAAGGATATCCAAATGCCAAAACAAACAAATGGACAACAATAACAAAAATTTATGCAAAGTTATTCAAACCCTTTACTCATTAGGAAATTACAAGTAAAACCATGAGATTATCACTATATACCCCTAGAATGGCTAAGCTGCAAAAGACTGACATTATCAAGTTTTGGTGAAGACATAAAGCAATGGAAAATTTTATATATGCTACTGAGAGTATGAATTAGTATAATCACTTTATAAACTTATTGGCAGTATCTACTAAGGGTCCACATAAATCTACCCTGTGATCTAGTAATTACACCTTCAGGTATATATCCAAGAGAAAGGGGCACATATGTTCACCAAAAGACATGTGTAAGAATGTCTGGAAAAGCTTTAATCATGATAGCAAAAACGGGAAAAACTGAAATATTCATCAGCAGGAGAATGAATAAATAAATCACGGCATACTCATATAATGGAATGAATACTATGCAGAAGTAACGAGACAAATTACCTACCGACACATGCAAAAACATAGATGGTCGCACAGGTATGAACTTGAGTGAAAGAAGAGAAAAGCAAAAGAGTATGTAGTTGTCCTGGCTCATAGTGGAAGCTAAGAGAGAAAGAAGGAAAAAGACCACAGTGGTGTGTTGGAGTTGCAGAGAGAAAGAGACTACCTAGGGTTGCAGGTTGGGGTGGGGGAAAGAGGAAGTGGAGGGAGGTCGGAGATTAATTGGGTGGGGGACATGGGGAATAATCGCAATTTGTGGTAGTGGGCATGTTGACAGTATTTGTCTGGCCATCACATCTTGGGCACAAGTAGTGACAGTCAAGCTTTGTACCCATGAATATGCATAACCAATAAAATAAAATAAAATAAAAAAGAGTATGTAGTATATGAATTTCAAAAACAAATAAAACTAATTTCACTGAGAGTGAAAGAATCCTCTTGTATTAGTGGATGAGAGTATTATGGACTGGGAAAGGGCACTGGTAACCTTCTACAGTGCTGGAAGTATTTTATATCTTACTCTGTGTGGTTGTTATACAAATATATACATTGAGTGGTCTTCAAAAAGTTAATGGAATGTTTTGTATTAGCTCTTAATTCCATTTTCCACAATCTTTTTGAAGTACTCTTTTAGTGGATTGAATTATGTCCCCTGAAAACTCACTGAAGCTTGAATTGTGTCCCCCAAATTTTATGTATTGGAAATTTAGGCCCCATTGTAACTACTGAGGGTGGGAAATCCTGTTACAGTAATTGAAAGGTGGGGCCTTGAAGAGGTGATTAGATTGTAGGACCACACCATAGTGAACGGATTAATACAGTGGTGATGTGTGTGGTTTGGAGGGCTTTAAAAGGGGAGCATGAAGAGTCTCTGCTCTCTGCTTCCACCATCTTGCAATGTGAAACTACCAGGTCACTGTTGCCACTACCAGATGGACTTTGGATTTCCCAGCCTCAGAAACTGTAAGCAGTAAATTTCATTTTCTTTATACAATACCGAGTTCTGTGTATTTTGTTATAAGCAACAGAGATGGACTAATACAACCCTCAGATGTAAAACTCATCAAGCTGTATACTTAAGATTCTTGCATTATAATAAATGTATATCTCAATAAAAGGGTTTTAAAAAATCTGATTTGCATCAATCAAAGCCATTAAGATATTTCAACATGTCTGGCTTCCTAGTCCATCAGAGACATCTGAGAAAGTGCTTCAACTTAATGGGAGAAATTATTCCAAATGGGTTGAGGTCAGAGATGGGGGAGGAATGGCAATTCTGGGGCACATCAGGAATGGGTGCTAGCAGAAGAGTAGCCTCCTATCAAAATGTCCACTGTGGTTGACCTATAAGCAAAAGGCATGATCCGTCCTAGTGGATTTGCTATTTGGAGATCTACTGCTTTCAGACTGGCCCAGTGAGCTTCCTGAAAGGACCTTAGAAGAAAAGTCCATTCAGGTGGCTACAACAAAAATACCATAGAATGGTGGCTATAAACAACAGACATTTAAAATTCATGGTCCTGGAGGCTGGGAAATCTAACATCAAGGCATCAACAGATTTGGTGTCTGGTGAGGGCCCTCTTCCTGGTTCATAGATGGCCATCATCTTGCTAAAACATCACATGGAAGAAGGATCAAGCAAGCTGTCTAGAGTCTGTTTAATAAGGGCACTAATCCCATTCATGAGGGTTCCACCTTCAAGACTTAATCATGTCCCAAAGGCCACACCTCC